AATCGATCTCTGTGCAGTGCAGGAAACAATATGATCCAGTTGCAAGTCGAGAGACATCGATCGAGAGACATCTTCAGTCGAGAGACATCTTCAAAGCCGTTCTTTGTCTCGAGCCAAGGACTACTAACGGAGTGGCCATAATCGTCTCTCAACGTTTCCGTGACTCGATAGCTAGCGTGGAACGTTTCGACGATCGTTTGATGAAGATTGTTCTAGCTGTCGAGCAACGACTGTACCACTTCTTTTCGGCATATGCTCCACAGACGAGATGCAATCAAAGGACGAGTTCTGGACTTTGCTTGAGGAGAAGACAGCTGAGGTGCCGTCAGAAGACGTCGTAATTGTCGCTGGTGACCTTAACGGGCACGTAGGCGCAACGAAAGACGGTTACAGTTGTCATGGTGGCTTCGGTTATGGAACACGTAACGTCGATGGCGAACGCATCTGGAATATGCAGAAGCCCATAATCTCGCCATCGTGAACACAAGTTCCGTAAACGCGACTCCCACCTGATTACCTTTTACAGCGGGAACACCAGAACACAAATAGACTTTGTTCTTGTCAGGCATCGCGATCAAGGACTTGTCACAGACGCGAAGACCGTGCCGTATGAGACAGTAGCCTCGCAACATCGCCCGCTTATCTGTACGCTGAAGATAACACCGCCCAGGTCGAAACAGATAGAGCGATGTGGACCTGAAAGAATCAAATGGTGGCGTTTGAAGGAGAAGGAGGCAGCTGTGATCTCTCGCATTCGATTACCAACTGTCACAACTGTCGATCATGGAAGAATGCCGCCAAAGCGATAGTTCAGGCCGCTCGCTCCGAACTTGGCACAGCGAAACCTGGAAGGCGTAGAATAGAAAAGCAGGCATGGTTGTGGACAGATAAAGAGGAAGCGCTATCACTTGTTCCTCAAAGACAAGTCAGCTGACAACTGGCGGAAGCGAGAAGTACGGCAAAGAAGGCTGTGGCTGCTACAAAAGCCGCTCACTTCGAAGATATCAGCAAGAAGCTGGAAACGCGGGATGGCGAGCGGCACATCTACCGACTTGCCAAGGCTCGTCACCACCAGACCGAAGATGTAGAGAAGTTCTTTGGCATCAATGACGAGAAGGGCCGCCTTTTGATGGACCGAACAAAGGTGCTGAGGCGATGGCGCGACTACTTCGGAGAAATTTCCACAGTGGAATATGAACACCCGGCCATCCCCTGCGCCTTACCAACATACGGTCCCGTTCAGAAGATAAGCGTGGAGGAAACGGAGGCGGCTCTCAAGAAGATGAAGCCAGGCAAGGCAACGGGCCCTGACGACGTGGCAGGAAGTCACACTGCTCGCATGCTGTCGAATGGTTGACAATGTTCTTCAATCAGGTCGTTGCAAAGAAGAAAATGCCCGAAGTATGGCAAGAGAGCACAACGGTAGTCCGATCTGGGGAGAAAAAGGCAGATCGCTGCAGACTGCCACAATTATCAGTCATTTCACTTGCTCTCGCCAGCTGAAAAAATACTTTGAGGCGAATATGTTGAATATAGATCGTCTAAAGCTCCTACAACGAGTGTGGATTCGTGACTGGCTGTAGCACCATCGACGACATGCATGCCGCTTGCCTCTTGCTGGAGTAACATCGTGAGAAGAAGAAGCATGCTAGCCTTCCTTGATCTGGAGAAGGCATTCGACCGTGTCCCACGTGAAGTTATACGGTATACCTTGCGGCAGCACGGCGTTTCCGAAGAGCTAGAGATGAGATCTGGACTTCAAATATTAAGGTCAAAGGCAGATCGATAGGCTCAAAGGCGAACAATACGGCGTTAAAATACTCTGATCAAATAAAAGATCGGCGGTAGTCATCGAATACCAAGGGATGAGACGACAGTGGGAGTGAGCCTGGGTCTAAACTGAGCGGTCTAAATGACTGGCAGTTAAAAAATACAATAACAAGGCTACCTGCCTCAAATCGAAGATCTAATAAAGGAGGATCGTCCAGCTCGCAGATAATACATGGCGAACTGAATATTCCGCCTATGACCAGAGAAGTTGAAAGGCGCGCTAGGAGTCACAGGGAGACTGTTAAAATGATTAGCAATGCGACCCGCCGAGTGTCTACGCCGTCAAATGCGAATCGCCATAACAATGACGACCTGAAGGAAGAGATTAGTGTTGCTACCTGTTGCTCGAAGAACATGCGAAGCTACGCTTCGATGGTATGGTCTGTGCTTCAACAGTCCGCGAACATTCAGACATTGTCCGTAGGATTAGCTCTCTCGAACTTCGAGTTCCGGCAAAGCGGCAATAAGGAGCCCCAAGCAGCAGCCAATGTTCCAGCACACTTTGCATGCAGAACTTAGAAGGTGTTATAGGTACCACCCATCCCACCCCCACGATCAGCATTTACATGGGAGAAGTCGGATCGCTGACAAATCTAAAGGCAAGCGGACCCTGCTTCAGTGTGGAACAAACGCTGAAGAAGAAGAAGAAGAAGATTTCTATTTGGACCTCACAGACGAGCATCGATCTAATGCCCTATCGAGTCCAACTGGGAGCTCACTGAATTAGCTATTCATGGAGATACATATCAAGTATGGGGATTCGTTAGAGGCCGCGCAGTGCTTACCCACCATAATCAAGCATCACCTTCAGTTGATGTTAGACGTTCAAAAATTAGGGGATAAGTTGTGCAGAGAGGGCATCCCATGCGATTTACAAGGTCCTTTTTCCTGCCTCTCGATTTGCACCATCTTCAAGTTGACATAAGAAGCATTTTTTTGCTCATATATTTCACAAGTTTTGAACATCTTCTGTAATCTGAGTGCCGAGATAAAGGGTAAAAACTCCTATTACACTCGATTTCAATGAAGTACACTCCTTATCTCTGAGATAGGGTAGGCGTGGCATTTGAACTGGGCACGGAATGGGTTACTCGGGGAATATTCCAGTCTGGGACAACTGTCATCTTGTTCTGCGTTGGACAGAGACACGACAACAGTTGTGTCAAGATGAAACCATCCCAACAGAAGCACAGCCACCTTCAAGTTCAGTTGAAGCGCCTACCCGATCTCAGGGATTTCGAGTATCGATACTGACAGAAACAGGAAGAGGGATGAAGGCAATTAGATTACCTTATGAAGAAGAAGGATCCCTATAGGGCAGCGTGGAACACAGTGTAAGCAATTTCCACTTTTTATATTGGAAATCGTGTAAAAAACGCACTTACTTAGGCCAACCCAATACTTAGAAATATTAGTTCACTCTACGAGAACTGGGCTCAGGGTGCAGCATCGTGATGTGTGAAGTGCTGGTGTAGGTGCAGCCCCCCTCCCTCCGAGAGAGGGTGTCAGTACGACCTCTCCACCTGGGAGAGGGTTTCGGTACGCTCTCTCCTTTCCATACACCTATTTACCAACTTTAAAAATCCCGAAAAGTCAACATCCGTGGGAAATTTCAAATTCTATCCCAACGCAAGCATTTCTCTGAAAGCCACATATAACCCTCTCCCAACAACGACCAAATACGACCCTCTATCGAACGAAAAAGTACACCCCCCCCATGTGCTTCACACGATGATGCTGTATCCCGTCCGAGCTCAAATAGGGGATACAGAAGCGCTCAGAAATGTGACATATTTTCTTCTCTATGCTAAAACGCGACCAATAAAGTTTGAAAGTGATGCATAGTCATATGGAAAGAAAGTTTCTGCCGAGTGTTGAAGAACTGATTATCTGTAAAGCAGTCTGTATCAAATTAAAAACTACGCCTTTTAGTATCATACCTGCATGTTAGTGTACAATATTCGTGCACTTGTGGTTTTTATTTCGATCGTCACAGCCGGGCTGCTGCGTACTACTGTGCGCATCTTATAGGCAGCCTGCGATTATTTGCCATCACAGTGCGTAGACTACAAGGTGACGACAAGGACAATGGGGTTGACTAACTCGAGAGTTAAAGGAAGGTGCCCCAGATAGAACTTCATCCCGATCCCAGTTTGTACGTGCCCAATTACCTCCATCTTAATACTGCGCCCTCATCCGCACAGCTGCTTCCCCGATAACGACTCTACGACCGTACAAAAGATGGTTCCAATGCTCTTGTCCTCTCCACCTGCTGTATGACAAAACCTTTTGAAGACAGTACATGCTCGAGCAGCATGTTCCCGTCCATCCTACTGTCCGCCGGCGCGCTCTCCGAGACTTCTCGGAAAGAACCATTGTGGTTCTCATAAGCAGCAGTTCTGTTGTTCCCTAATTTCATCGCCCACGAATACTCGAAGGCTGGTCTAAGTAAAAAAATCGGTTTACAACACTTTTTCGTTTTTTTATTGTTCGATGGTATTAGCCTTAGATATCGCGATGAAACTATAATGAACCCTATGACTCTACAAGAGACATTAAATGCATCCACTCCATGATACTTGCCCGGGAGCATTACTTTTGGCTGGAAGGCCGACTTTGGAGGCGGAGTCTGGAGGCGGAGTCACTGGAAAAAGGGATGTACCACTGAAGCAACATTGCGCCTTAATTCTTTTACCGTACAACTTTACAACTTTTCGCCGCGAAACTGGCACATGGTTGTCTCCTCCGGACCGTGCTACCTTCCCTCAAAACATCTTGCAGTTTTCATGGGTCATCGCGGACCGCTCCTTTAAGCCATAGGATGGATAACATGCAAGACATTTTCATGTTTGGATGCGAAGATCGAACGTTGTCAAGAGACATGATCATGATACTTTGTCGTGCCATGAGTTGGCAGTCAATTGTAGTGGGTGCCTAACCGTGGTTCCAAAGGTATATTTATCATGGCTTAGTTCCCCGAGACCCGATAAATTCCTGTAAGGGCGATACATATTATATTTCTAGCCGAGCCGACTTGCTTGTTTTGTTTTTTTCTTTCTCATGGCAAACAACTATGACGTTTCAAAATGTTCACGACTTCTTTCTGAGGAAGTCCTCGCCTATTAGGAATTAACAAAACCGCATTTTACTTCACAACAACACACATAAAATTACAACTTAAGTTCCTTCTGCACATCAAATAGGGTCTTCCAACTTTTGTGAAGCTTATCAACTTCTTCCTCATTGAGATTCTGTTTAATTACGTGCGTGACCCCGTTCGTACCGACAACGCATGGGAGCGATAAATAGACGTCATCTGTGATGCCATGAAGTCCCTGAACGAGAGAGAAATTAGGTCGCAGCAACCATGAGGCAAGAAGAGTTAACAATTACATTGACATTTGTGGAAAGGGCGAAGACGTTTCGAGAGTTGCTCATGATTCCCGAAACAATACGAGCGACAGAAAGGCCAATTGCCCATGATGTGTATCCTTTCAATTTTATGATTTCATAGGCACTGTAAACAAATACTGAATTCTATACGAGTCCATGAATATATTTGTGGTTAGCATAACACAGCCATAAGAAAAAGGATACCTAGAGATAACTTTTTTGTGAAGTTCCGTTTGCCATGATTCTTGACCCTCCCTCGAACCGGCTCTTCTGCTCACCTCCGCCAATGAGACACCAGCAATGTTCACACCCGACCATACAGCCACTTAATGGTAAGAATTAGTGAAGGACATCAGTTTAGATGTTATTATGCTCTGGACCAGGTAGTGTTCAAGTTAAAGCATTGCAACAATCGTGGCTACACTAATGCCATCAACACTCCTTTCAACTACTTTTGAGGAATACTTGAAGCAAAGTACGGCTTTATCATGTTCTTGAACGACATGACGCATTTGACCCAACCATCCTTGGAACCAAGTTCGTTATGACCAAGTCGGTTACTACCTGACGTCGGAAACCTTTTCTTGTACATGGTGGCACGATGACAATCATTGCTATGCAGCGGTCTCATCGTCTGATTCTCCCTTCTAGATCAGATCTACCCGCAACACACTCATTTGAGACCGACTTCCTAATGACAGAAATATGACGGTAAGAAAAAACTGTAGCTGCTCTCGCTGACCCTCAACTAGGGCAATTGTTCGCTCCGATTCTTTGCAAAACTCGGTGCTTGAAGTTGGAAAAGTCGGCTAATTCTGCAGTGGGATAGTCGTGATTAGCGGGAAGTTGTTCCTGTAGGTTTTATATACTTCTAGCAGATGGATGACTTCTAGCGTACTGCCCTCGAGTGTTTTAGGTCTGATGTGACAAAGTAGGATTTCCGCCTCAAAGTGCGCAAAAGATGATATATTTCACAGCATTAACACAACACAGTATTTATTATTCAGCTCCTAATCTTGGAATGTAGGAGAGTAGGCACACTTTACGATTATATAGGTTCTGTTACATTTTAGGAGATTGAACTGGCAGGCCATTTCGACAAAAAACCCACTTTCGACACACCAGCGTCGTTGTCTACAGTCATCTTTACCCCGCTTAGTCTGTTCTTCATAGGGAGACTCAGAACTGTTTAGAATGGCTCAGTGATTTGAGTTTCGATATTGTAGGCACGCATCGCTTCGGACATACTTACATGGTTGCAGGCTGAATCAGCTTATTCATAATAACCTACCTACGCCAGATATTATTCACCAGTCGGATCACCCGGCTAACGCTGAGCTCTCCTCCTTCACTTTAA